CAGGTTGAATCAAATGTTAGGCAGACCATTGAAGTACAACTAGGTGATACTTGTGAGAAATCAGATTCACATGCAAGTCAGGAAATGGAAGTTAAAGAAGATAACAGTGAGGACCATCACAATTCAATGGATGAGAAAGCCTTAAAGCACATGGCTACGAAGGCTGGAAGTTCAGGAGGATTTTGTCAGGCTAACTATATATTGCCACCTGAAAAGGAAGGTGACTTTTCTGTCTCAGATATGGTTTGGGGTAAGGTGAGAAGCCATCCATGGTGGCCTGGACAGATATTTGATCCATCAGATGCATCAGAGAAGGCTATGAAGCATTATAAAAAGGACTGCTTTTTGGTGGCATATTTTGGGGACAGAACATTTGCTTGGAATGAAGCATCTCAGCTGAAGCCCTTTAGGGCACATTTCTCCAATATTGAAAAGCAGAGCAATTCAGAATCATTCCATAATGCTGTAGATTGTGCTATAGATGAAGTCTCAAGACGAGTAGAATTTGGGCTGGCATGTTCCTGCGTACCAAAAGATATTTATGACCAGGTCAAATTCCAGACTGTTGAAAATGCTGGGATTCAAGAAGAAACAAGTTTAAAACATGCATCGGATGAATCTTTGAATGCAGACTCCTTTTCTCCCAATAAACTACTAGACTATTTGGAAAGTTTATCTCAGTGCCCAACTGGTGGCTTTGATCGATTGGAGCTTGGGATTGCCAAGGCTCAGTTGCTTGCATTCTATCGTTTAAAGGGTTATTCTTGCTTGCCTGAATTTCAATATTGTGGAGGTCTGGACTGTGATATAGACAGCTCAATGCAAGATGTTGAGAATAATGCTAGCGAGGGTAATGAAACTCCTCTAAGCAAGGATGCTGATCAAGCTTCTGCTGGTCATAGAGTTTCAAAAATCCACAACAGCTCTTACCACAAACGTAAACATAATTTGAAGGATGGTATGTATCCTAAAAAGAAAGAAAAAAGCTTGTCAGAACTAATTGGTGGGACTTTAGATTCTCCAGATGATTATTGGTTGGATGAGAAAGCCATTGACAGTCTAGTTTCCCCTACTGCTTCCAAGAAAAGGAGGACTGTCGATCCATATGCTGATGACCCTGGGATGCAAGATGGGAGGAAAACAATTTCCGTTGCAAAAGTTTCCAGTTCCTCAAAACCATCATTTAAAATTGGGGAATGTATTCGTAGGGTTGCTAGTCAACTTACAGGGTCTCCCGCAGTGAGGAGTTCTGGTGAAAGGCCCCAGAAGCCAGATGAAGACACTGATGTACTTTCTGGGGATGCATCTGAAGATGTTTCTGCTCAAAATCTTGAGGAGGCTAAGAAGCCAATTGACCCAGCAGACTATTCATCACTTAATGATTTGCTATCTTTACTTCAGTGGGCAGCGCAAGATCCAGTAGAACATTGTAAGTTCTCGAGTGTTATTGTGAGTTTCTTCTCTGATTTCAGGAACTCAATAGTTGTAGGAAATTATTCTGAAAGAGAGATCACCCCTCCGAATAAAGTTGGTCCTAAAAGGAAGAAACAGGCCATTGCTGGATTACCTGAAACATTTGAATTTGAGGATATGAGTGATACTTATTGGACAGATAGAGTCATTCAAAATGGTTCTGAAGAGCAGCCATCAAAAAGAAGCAGGAAAAAAGAAAATCAATCTGTGCTTCCTGATCCAGAGAAACCTGTCCAAGTGAGTCGTAGGTCCTACTCCAGGAAACGGTATTCTGACAACAGTAATGTCAGCAATGTGGAGGCTTCTGAAAAACCTTCTGGTTATATAGATGATAAATCCCCTGCTGAACTTGTTATGAACTTTGCGGAGTTGGATTCTGTTCCCTCAGAGACAAACCTTAATAAGATGTTTAGGCGTTTTGGACCTCTTAAGGAATCTGAAACAGAAGTTGACACAGTGGGCAGCCGTGCCAGAGTGGTTTTTAAAAAGTGTGCCGATGCAGAGGTTGCTTTCAACAGTGCTAAAAAGTTCAACATATTTGGAGCAATACTTGTAAACTACCAGCTTAACTATACCCCTAGTGCACTTTTTAAGGCTTCAACTGTCGCCACAACGCATGACCAAGAGATGCATCTTGATCTCTCCAATTTCGAAGTTAATATGGTCTGAATTCTTTGGTAAGTGCCTTTGAACTGCCGTATTCTTTGCAACATCTGTAATGATTAATTTCAGTGCTTGCACTAATGTCCGTGGTTGATAATATAGTAACTGTTCTCTGTTCACTCACTTGGATTTGTAGCATCATGAATTGAAACTATACCACCTAGTGGCTAAGGCTTGTTGAATAAATTGAAACTATTATCCAGGCCAGGATGGTTATTTAGAATTTTGGATAGGTATAACCTGTTTTTCAATTGGATATTGACTTAAAAATGTCAAGTAATATGGTTTTCAGTATGAAGAAATAGAATTTTGCATTCCTTAAATTGCCTGTCTTGTCTGGATGTTAACTGCTCTTACCAAGGTGTGATTATTTTTTTCCCTGGTGAAAACTGAAAATTGTTTTTGCCTTTTTGGAGTTCATATTTTTGCTGCTGTGTACACTATGTATCTTATACTTGGTCTTGCATTTCTAATTGCAATCTTAAGTTAAAAATTAATCGCATTTGCCATTCTCATACTAGGGATGAAGTCGTATATAAGCTGAAAAGGATTTGGCAGAGAATGCATTTAACTGAGGGAACTTCTGTGTGAGACTGTTAATTCCATCTGGTTGTCCACGATAGGCTGCTGGAGGTAACCGGAGTGTTAATACATCTGGTCATCCATTATCATGTTCAGAATATTACTTTTGTTGGTAGCTAGCCAGGATGCACCATTTTGTCGTTCCTTAGTTTTCTCTTTTGCCCAGTTTTCTGTAAGCATTTTCAATAGCCGCCATTTCTAACTTGGGATTCGATATGAAACTCTGTAGTCCTAGTCTGATTACTTGTCATGTATGATTTTCTATGTTAAATATATAGTAGTCTTCGGTAGGTATGCTTCTATGTTGTAAGAATAGAAGTTAATGTTGCGCATACAAGTCTCCAAAAGCCTGGGTGATCTGATTTGTCTAACTATTCCTTCCTTTTTTGATGTCTTTGTAATTCAGTGTTTTGAGGTTTTATATAAAAGGCCTAAATACACTGAGACCTCAGTTTCATGAGTTATAATATGGTCACTCTGGTTTATGAGATGGCCGTGTTGCTGCTATGCAATTTCGATGACCTAATATTGCACCTGTGCAAGTCACATTTTGTCCAAAATTTGACTGTGAACATTCTGATGTGAACAACGCGAGGGATAAAACTGGATCATTTTAAGAGAGACGCGTCGTCTGTTCGTGGCTTTTCATTCTCCTGACAAACTCTTCACAGGCTCTGTTTGGAACCGTAGCAGCCAGTTGTCGGGTCCCGGAAAAATAAGAGCAGCTCATTGGTGTAGTGAAATATCAGCCCAAAATGATCCAAATAAATGAGATAGCCTTTGACATGTTCATATTAGCATTTTTTATTTGTACCTCCAGGTTCATATCAGAACACATCAGGGGTACTTTTCCGATGTTAATGCTATCGTTTTGTTTAGCTCTACATATATACATATATATATTTATATATATATAAACAGATCGGTTTTTTTTTTTTTTGAAAAAATAAATCCAGACTATGACTAACAGGGTGAATCCAGGCAAAAGGGAATTCCCAAAACTGGAGTGTTTTAGCTTTTCCAATAATTTATTCAATTGACTATGGAAGCATGTAACAATTATTTTTTGGGTGAACATTGTATACTTGGGCACTAACCTGTAGAGTAGGGCCGGACATTTGTTTTTTTTTTTTTTTTAGGGGGGGTTCATGGGGCTGACTTGCAAGCTTTCTTTTAGGAAACCCCCCCCCCCCAAAAAAAAAGCGGGGGCCCTTTTTTCATTTTTCATTTTTTCTTCCTTTAATTTTAGTTCTAAATTTTGATGAATTTGAGGATCTAATTTTGTCTGATAACATGAAATCTCAGAGAAGGATATGATAGAAGGTAAGATTTTTTTTCCGCCGAGAGGTATTTTTTTCATGTTCATTTTTTATTTAATTACATATAAAAAGTCAATTGAAATATTTTGAGGGCTAATTAGTCTAAATGTGACCAATAGCTGGGTTTTGCAAGCAAATCCCATCACACAAGGGAAACAAGATATTTGGGCCCAAGCTTGGTCCATTGGGGTCAAGCTGACCTATTTCCCAGCTCTGCTGGGGAGGGATTTAAGGAGCCGGTGAACCTAATTTTTGTCTCGTTGGACCTATATCCCTGGTAAAACTTCAGTGTCACTTTCTACATAAAAATAAAAAAAAAACAATTTCACCATATTGAGAGAAAATTTACTATGTAAAGCTAAATAATTAATTTGTAAATATTAAAAAATTAGTTGAGTATTTATTTATAAGAAATATATTTGAACTTTCTAAATTACCATTTTAATCATTGATATTGAAAACTACTTCCAGTCCTTTTTTTTTTTTAAAAAAAAAAATAAGATCCTGAAATTTGAATTACCTAGTGGTCTTTTATCATTTTTGCCCCTAATTAATTTTACATATTACATTTGTTTCACTGAAAAAAAGAACTTTATATATTTCATTAAATGATTTATCATATTTTTTTATACTTTCTTTCTCTTACTTGTCCCTTATAAATAAGGAAGTTCATTTCTCATATATTTATTATTTTTAATTAATTTTAACTATTTTTAAACCACGTAATGTAGTTATTAAACTCCTATAAAAAAGATCAGAAAGAGTAACTTTTAATAAAACACCTTAATAAGTGAAATTAATAAGGACAATTTAAAGAGCAAATTATAAATTGGAAATACAAAAGAGATTGAATACAACCTCTAGATCATTAGGACCGGAGGAATACAACCTGTAGATCATTACGTACATAAATTTTATAATTCTAACCTCTAGAGCTTAGACTTAATATTTAGTTAATCAAAAGAGGCAAAGGAGGCTACTAGTAGACATGTACAAGAAGCATGGAAGCACAGATTATGTACCATATATTTCACCCCTTCTGGCGTTTCATCTTTTCCTTGGAAGTGATGTCTTCGAACACTTAAGAACCTTCCACAACTTTTTCTTGCTCTTCTTCCTCGTATTATCCACTTTGTGACGTTTCCATCTTCGGTATTTCTCTCGGTTCTTCAACCAGCCATGATAGTCTTTCCCTCTCTTGCACTCAACGAAGTCCACTAGATCAGCATAATCAGATGTTCTGGATTTTTCAAGAATGCATTCAAGGAACATCTCACCATTACATGTTTCCTCTTCTATGTCAAAGGAGAAAGGATCAAGAACTGGCACTGTCCATGTACTCTCTGCTTCAGTCTCTCGGATTCCTTGTTGGAAGCTTGATGGGGCGTTCATTCTGTGGGAAGTAAAAGGAAGAAAATTACTCGGGGAGTCAAGAAAGCAAAGAAAGGATTATGAAGTTAAGGTTGAACAGTCATCAACTCATATTCAGATTTTGATGATCGATGAATATCAGCACGGTAAAGGTAGAATCGGGAAAGACTGAATGAATCAAGTACCATTAATTTGACGAAATCCATTAATTGTTGAAATATACAGGGAACTGAATGTAAAAGATATCAGTAACGGATAGCATAGGTGATAGATTTTACAAGGAGCACATTAAAATTCAGCATAAATTCATTAACTCAAATAAACTTGTTAATTGTCATATGATTAAATGGACAATGAAAATCCAGTTATCGTGATAGAATAATTAAATTTGTGTAATTTAGTAATACCATCATGTACCTGGAATGACGTGCCCAAATTTTATGAAACTCTGATGCAACTTTGTAGCTAGTTTTGTGTACAGCATCCTGCAACAGCAGCAATGATTTTAAGCTTGAAATACAAACTCTATATCAAGTATATGAAAACTGAAGGCATACTTCACCTCTCTAGCTTTAACCACTGGCATTTCTGATGGCAATGGTAGATCCTTCAATGATCCTAAAGCTACTAAATCCCCCTCTACAAATATGAATAGATACATCAGTGCCGTAATTACAGATATGCATGCCTTTGCCAAGATATCAAATCCATGAATTAAACTTGAAGATAACAAGCCCGAAAAGTGAAATATTGACTTGGAGTGTTCAGGCCTTGCACGGTGACTCTTCATCACATCAGACAACATGTTTTGAATGGGTAAACATATATCACCCTGTTGGAAACAGCTAACAGTGCTGATCAAGAAATCATATCTTTCCGGCAAAGAGGCATTTTCCAAAGTCTTCAGGCAACCTGAATTACCACCATTACTTAGGCACCGAGTGGCTTGAATTAGTGATATGCTCATTAACCTCAATATTGATGTGAGAAGGCATATATCCTGAGCACCAGCAATTTTCTTTGTATAGAATTCATCCCCAGCAGCATTTTCGGAGAAAGTTCTACGAATAATGCATTCTAAGATGGAGAAAATTGTGTTCCTGCATGAATCAGGAAATATATGTTGGCTTTCTTTCATATAAGCAACATATTCAGTCAAACGGTTGGCTTCCGTTTTGGATGACATTTTGCAGTGATAAGAATCCCACGAACCATCCAGTTTTGATACAAGATCATCTAGTTTGTTCTTTGTGACTTGCTGAATGTAGGTTTCAAATTTTATCTGGCTTCTTCCAAGTAGATAAGAATGATTAGAACATTTGAATCCTATGCAATAACCATCCGTTTGCAAACTAGAAGCATGCATTGAGTACAGAATGACTGATCTTTCAAATGCTGTAAGGTAGCAGTCCACAAGGCTATCCGCAACCAAGTTCTGAGAAGATAAGCCATGACCAATGGCCTCAGAAACTAATGAAATTACATGTGCCTGGAACATCTTTGGTGCAGAAAGCAAAATAGGGTTGAGCAGCAATGATATGGAAGCTTCTAAACTTAGTTCAATATCTCTTGAATCCTTGCCACAAGGCAGAAGTAATCTGCCGATGAACTTCTCAAGTGCTTGCTCATCAGTAACTGACAGCATAAAATGGGCAGATGTTATCTCTAGGACACTCGCAATATAACCATGGTTCAAGTGAAATGTTGAATCCTTTTCTCTGATCGAAGAAGATGATTCCATGTACATAATGTACTTCCTTAAAGATGGATGCTTTAAACACTCATCCGCGAATGCCTAAGATAACATCATGTTTAGTCATTTTCCAAGTGCATTAACCAAAATTCATCATGCTACTCAATTATACTAATTATTATGAACAAAACAGACATATACAATTGGTAAGATTTGTTAATCAAAACAAGAAAAAGGACGGGAAAACACGAGGAAAGGAAAAGTTTACACATTTTATTACCTTAGGCTTCCTACAAATAAAATTAAAGAGCAATGAAGAAAAGACACATAGAAACCTGAAAAGCTCCAAACTTTTTCAGTAAAAAATATAAATAATACTAGTCGAACGTGTGGCCGTTCATGGAGAACAAAGAAGTGGATGCTATGGCCCAGTAAAAGGCTTAACATTTCGTAACAAGTAAATCTCCTTAGGGATAAAATAAAAGTACAACCAGGGAAAATTCTCTGCTAAAAGTAGTAGTAGCTTTTCGTTCCTCCTCCTCGTCGTCCTTCTTTTTTTTTTTTAAAAACCAGAGGCTCTTTCAAAGAGCAATTTGGATGATTCTATTCAAAGCTGTTCTGGTTGGTAAAAATATGAATTATTTAAGAAATCTTCAACACCTCATGATGTTAAATTGTAATTAGCGGGTCGCCCAAACCCCGATGAGGGAAAGCTGGTACATTTCACAAAAAAGAAAGAAGATCACAAGCAGCTGACTACGTGGGTTTTCAATGGAAAAAAAAAAAAATTAAATAACTTAAAAAAAAAAAAACTAATTGCATTTGCCCATCAGGCGTCATGAACATTGAACGATCAAAAGGTACATGAAATAACAGATTACAGCAGAAGGCATAATCGCAACAACAGCCGAAAAAAGGAAAAAAATAACCGCTAACCAGCATTACCTCCAGCACTGAACATAGAAATGGACGGCAAGGATCATTTAGCTCGAAAGAAGCAGGTGTGGAAAGTTCAGCACTGCTTGCACTGAATTCACGGGAGCCCATATTCTCAAATGTAATTTGGGTTCTTCCATTTCTCTCATTCACCTCAATGGAATAAAAAATATTCAACATCTGACAGATATAGCGGCACTTTTTAAGCAGGGACTGCTGTGCAGACTCGAGCAATGTCAAAATAATGAGACAGGACCTGAGAACCAACGTTAGGTCTTGAACAATTTCCCACAATTTCGAATGCAATTCGGGCACTTGACGAGACCCACTTTCAGAAAGATCCCGCAAAGTGGAGAAAAAAAGTTCAAATTTGACGTGAAGGTGCTTGAAGAGATCATCAGAGAGAAGACAGAGATCTTTGAATTTCACTTTCACACCACAGAGATCGAAGTCGTTGCGAGTATCAGCTCCGTCACCATGGGAACGACGCAGGTGAAGCAGTATATCGGGTAATTTTGGCATGGCTTCAAGCTTTATATTTTCCGAGAAGAGGATTGAGATTGTGGATTGGGGATCCTTTGCACCGAGAAGGAGAAAGGAACTGAATCGCCAATGTGAAGTACGAATCACTGTATCCCGCGCCATCATTAGGTTCAAAAGATTCTTACGGTTGGGTTTGGGTTCTGTCAAAAATTCGAAGTGAAGCCCAATTTTAAATCAAATTGGGCCGGAAGTTAAGCCCAATTTTAAATCTGTTTTGGTGTCCCCAACCTTAATCAACACGACCTTTTCTATTTTTGCCAACAAGTAACAATACTTTTTGAACGCATAGTGGATGCATTCTTTTGAGCAAAGTAATGAATGCCATTTTATTATTTATGGATAGTATGGCCGAATTTTCAAATTTTTTTCATATAACATGCTGGTGTTGGATTCGAATAATTTTCATATTACCAGTATGGTTAGGTATAACAGAAGAGACTAGTTCCTCACAATATAACAAATCAATATTTGAATTCTTGCTATAATATATACCCACATTTAGTGTTCCACAGTGTTTCGAACATAATTACCTTTCATGGAATGATATCTGTGCCTAGAAAAAAAATTATAATACCAATTTTAATAAGTTGGCTAAAAAGTTATTCTTGTATCATGCGTGAAAAATGGAATCGACAATAATGTTTTAGAGATACATACACTTGTTCTATTCCGTGATTTTAAAAAGAGAGAAAGGAAGAGAAAGATTGACGGCAAAAAACAGAAAAAGGAAAATGGAAAAAAAAAAAGAAGGTTGAAGCAACCTTCCGAGAAGCTGACTAGTAATTTGTAAGTCATTGATTCATCCATTTACCTCATCCTTTTGTTAATGGGTTGTTATTGATCAAATTACCCTAACATTTTAGTAAAAATCCGAATTTGGAACGATATGACGTGCATGGGCAAATCATTTTATGGTGATAACAAAAATTACTAAAACATGTAATTACTTTTTACATTTTCAATTTAAATTAATTTTTAAATCAATTTGAAAGAAAACCGAGCAGAAGAGAAGCAAATGTTTTTTTTTTTTTGGGGTAAGGAGAAGCAAATAACTCCGCCTATATTGTATAGCCGGTCCCAAGCCCGGATAAAGGAGGAGGGTTGTGTTAGGCCCTCGACAGCAAACGTAAAAACCCGTCGAATCTCATGAACATGGATCAACGAAGTAATTATGCTAATGCTAGGTCGTTGCCCAGAAGTGACGCGCTGTATGGCTCGAGTACAGTAAGAAATGAGCTAGAGCCGCTGCATCGTCGCCCGGATGTAGTGTTAAATGAGCAAGGGCTACCGCACTCTCTTGGACGGAGGCGGCTAAAGAAGTTAGTTCATGAGACTGAGATTAGATTTGGCACTTGGAATATTGGGACGTTGAATGAGAAATCTATGGAAGTAGCAGGAGTTATGAGGGACAGAAGGATTAATATCTTATGCCTCCAAGAAACCAAATGGACTGGAGAAGCTGCCAAGGAACTTGGAGAGTATAAACTTTGGTACACAGGAAAGGTGAGTGCAAGGAATGGGGTTGGTATCATCGTTGATGGGACATGGAAAAAGAATGTGGTAGAGGTTAAAAGGTTTGAGGACAGAATAATATCGTTAAGAGTAATTGTTGGGAAGGATACTATCAATATCATTAGTGCCTATGCACCTCAGGTTGGGGCAGAGACACATCTTAAAGATAAGTTTTGGGAAGATATGGAGGATTTGGTTCAAAGCATACCACTTGAAGAAAAAAATTTTATCGGTGGGGACCTTAATGGACATGTTGGTAAAGAAGCAGGACAATTCAGCGGGGCCCATGGTGGTTTTGGTTTCGGGGAGCTTAATAGTGGAGGACAATCTATTCTCGATTTTTCTCTTGCATACGATCTTAAGATTGTCAACACTTGTTTTAAGAAGCGAGAGGAGCATTTAATCACGTACAAAAGTGGTGTCTCAAATCACAGATTGATTTCTTTTTGGTTAAGAATCTGGACAGAAGATTGTGTACTAATTGCAAAGTGATTCCAGGAGACGGGGTGACTGCCCAACATAGAGTACTTATCCTTGATGTGCGTTTTAAGAGTACCAGGGAAAAGTACCATCAAGTGGCAAAACCCAGAATTAAGTGGTGGCAGTTAAAAGGAGAAAAGCGGGAGTTATTCAAAAGGACTCTTTTGAAGGAAGGGATTTGGGAGTTGCAGGGAAACGCAAACATGATGTGGGAAGAGATAGCTATGAGGGTTCGTTTGGTAGCTAAAGCAATTTTGGGAGAATCCAAAGGTCCTGGTCAAAGAGATAAGGAGACTTGGTGGTGGAATAAGAGTGTGCAGGAGAAAGTCAAACAGAAAAGAGATTGTTTTAAGGCCATACACTTGTGCAATAGTGTAAGAACCGGGAAAAGTATCAATTGGCTAAAAAAGAGACAAAGAGAGCAGTGAGCGAAGCACGTACTAAAGCTTATGAAGGGTTTTATCAGGAGTTAGGAACAAAGACGGGAGAAAGAAATATTTACAAGATCACGAAGCAAAAGGAGAGGAAAAAGAGAGATCTGGACCAAGTAAAGTGTATAAAGGATGAAGATGGTAAAGTGTTGGTTACTGATGGTGATATTAAGGACAGATGGGAGGCTTACTTTTACAAGTTGTTTAATGAGGGAAGCAATTATGCGACTCAGGACTTGCAGGACTTGTTAATTAACGAAGATGATCGGAATTTGGCTTTCTACCGCAGGATACGTATCGGAGAGGTTAAGGCGGCTCTCAAGAAAATGGACAATGGAAAAGCCGTTGGACCTGATGGTATCCCTATTGAAGTTTGGAAATGTTTGGGCGATGAGGGGGAGGTGTGGCTAACCAAGCTTTTTAATGAAATTCTACGCTCTAAAAATATGCCGGATGATTGGAGGAGAAGCATTTTAGTTCCTATTTACAAGAATAAAGGAGACATTCAAAACTGTGCAAGCTACAGAGGGATAAAACTTATGAGTCATACAATGAAGTTGTGGGAAAAAGTGATGGAATATAGGTTGAGGTTGGAGACTTCTATTTCGGAAAACCAATTTGGATTTATGCCAGGGAGATCCACTTCGGAAGCAATCTATTTACTAAGGGGGTTAATGGAAAGATATAGAAGTAAAAGAAGAGATTTACATATGGTTTTTATTGATGGAAAAGGCTTATGATCGTGTGCCAAGAGAAGTATTGTGGAAGGCTTTGGAAAAGAAAGGTGTACGGGTTGCTTATATCAAAGCCATACAAGATATGTATGAGGCGGTAACTACCAGTGTAAGGACGCCTGGAGGGGAGACAAAGGACTTCCCTATTAAGATTGGCCTACATCAGGGATCCTCTCTGAGTCCGTACTTGTTCAACATTATTCTGGATGTTCTAACTGAACCTATTCAAGAAAGAATCCCTAAGTCCATGCTCTTCGCGGATGATATTGTCCTTATGGCGGAATCAAAAGAAGAGATTAACACTAGTTTGGAGTTATGGAGAAGGACTTTGGAGTCGAAAGGTTTCCGTTTGAGCAGGAACAAAACAAATATATGCATTGTGATTTTGGAGGGAGGCAAGGTAATGGGGATTTGGAGGTGAGGATGGGAGAACAAATTATTCCTCAAGTATCAAAGTTTAAATACCTAGGATCCATTATACAGGAGGATGGGGAAATTGATGGAGACATTTCTCATAGAATACAAGCTGGCTGGTTAAAGTGGAGGAAAGCTACCGAGTTATTTGTGATAAGAAGGTACCTGAGAAACTTAAAGGAAAATTTTATCGGACTGCTATAAGACCAGCTATGATGTATGGTAGTGAATGTTGGGCAATAAAGGGAAAACAAGAGCACAAAGTCGGAGTAGCAGAAATGAGGATGTTGAGATGGATGTGTGGTCATACAAGAAAAGATAGGATTCGAAATGAAAAGATCAGGACAAGAGTTGGTGTGGCACCTATCCAAGAGAAAATGGTTGAAAATCGCTTAAGATGGTTTGGACATGTGCAGAGAAGGCCTTTGGAGGCCCCGGTGAGGAGGGTGGATCAAACAAGATGGAGTCCCATAAAAAGAGGCAGAGGAAGACCGAGAAGAACGTTGAATGAGGTCATTGAAAGAGACCTCCTAGTCAATAATATATCTAAGGATTGGGTTGTTGACAGAGCACGATGACGTCGTGTGATTCATGTAGCCGACCCCACCTAGTGGGATAAGGCTTGTTGTTGTTGTTGATAAGGAGAAGCAAATGTATTTTTTTTTTGGGTAAGGAGAGGTAAATGTATTTTAATAATCAAACATCATTATCATAAATACCAATATCAATATTCAATATTAGAATATAAAATATAAATTTCATAACAAGTCATTTTTTAAATAAATCATGTAAAATAAATTTTATTTTTTGGTTAAAAAATTAAACGGGTAAAAAATTTGACTGCTGTATAACTTGAATGCATGTTAATAAAATAAACCTTTAAGTAATATTTATTTAGCTTATATTACAGTTATTTTTTTCCTATTATTTACTTTTAGTCAATAACATTAATTGTGTATGCAAAATGCATTCTCTCTTAAAATAAATGATTTAATTCTTGGATAATGATATTTACGTCCCAGGCTTCCTAATTCCACGTACCCGGCGGTGAGGGGTGACACTGCAAATATAGGACCAGCTATGCTTCATGCGTTCTTACTCTCACCTTTTCTAGCAGCTTCTACTTCCTTTTATAGGTTTCTTAGTTGCAGTTTTAATCCTATAGTTCAGGTTAGCTCGTAACTAATCTTCTTTTATTATTAATACCATTCTGTCTTCTTCTCAAGGGGAAAAAAAACAACAAAAGAAAGATTGACCCAAGAGTGCTGCCCCGGGAGGGGGGGTGTCTCACAACAACAACAGCACTAAATATCCTTTTGGATAAAATGAAAAACAATCACAGGTTCGATCCTTCATCACAAGAATGCGCTTCAAGCCATAAACAGCAGAGAGGAATAACTATCTGAGTAGCAATTATTCATCTACTACTTTACTAATCACAATGAAGATTATTCCTCTCATCTTGCATTACTAATAACATTACATACCAGCAGAAGTTTGATCACACTTCATCATAAAGTTAATGCTTGCGTACCCTTCCTGTGCTGCTCTCTCCATAATCAGTTCCTGCGCAAAATAAAAAAGACAACTTGGCTTTTGTATCACTGCTGTTAAATATGATTCAGAAAAAGGAAGGCAAGTGAGGTATGATCATATCCCATGTACAACACAAGTCAGTATAATACTATCTCTGGTCTTTAATATAAAAGCTAGATAAGTAATTTGAAAAGATTAAGGAAATTAGTTAAGTTGGTTATTTGTAGTAAATGTATCTTGATTTTCCTAAACCACCTTTTTCAATCATGTGTACTGGAGCTACTTTTTGGTGGAAATCCTTACAATCAATAGGAATATTTTGGGGAAAAAAATCATAAATTTGGGACACAAAATGGATTGATATTTTATATTTAAGACTAAATCCAACCCTTAATTAGTTCTTACATTAAGAACCAAAAGTAGTACAAGTCAAAGCATAACAAAGCTTGTGCGAAGCGCATAGGCAAATCATATGGAGGAAGAAACAAGTTTTGCTTTTGGTTGTCTAACAAATCAAGTTACCTGGATTATAGCAGTGATCTTCCCAGGTCCCCCCTGCAGTAACAGGTGATTTGGTGCATGAGATGAAAGGAATTAAGGGAAATAGGATGAAGAAATAAGAAGTAATTTTGTGGACAAAAATATAAGTATCTAGTACCTACTCTTAGAAAAAAGCAATGAAAGTAAATAGATGCTGATTAATGATGATGACGAGAGTATGATTAACTATGTGATATTCTTTGCGCACTGACAAATGAAATCATCTTCCCATGCCGTACCAGACAAGCCTTATAAGCGTACGTAATTTCAGTATCTTAGTAAGTTAGCACCTGAAACTGCTTCTTTTCCCATGAAACATCTTTCCACGTTTTGGAATGGACTGATTGCCAATCAGTCGGAACCTGAACACTATCCACATGCTGCAAAATCCTCAAGCTATCTGCAACATTATTTGGTCCAAAGTGAATCGTGTTTGCAAATAGAGTCCAGGATCTGAAGTTTCACATTAATTTGTACAGAAATACATGATAAATATTCAGAATCGGGGAAAAAAAAACAAATGTCATTGACTGGGATCCATCACCAGAACATAGAATTATTAAAAGAAAAATAATACATACTCGTGATGAATGCCTCCTCCCACACTTCACGTTCTGACCATGATGGTGCAACTTCACGAAATGGGATTCCATTGCTCCGACATACTCTGTATACATAGAAGATCAGTGCTAAGGTACACAAGCAAATAAACGATGTTTCTTTATCTCTTTTCTATACAAACATGGTATTACCCTATCTTTTATGGCGTGATGTTACTTCCAGATCTTTGACGATGCAATCTTTCTAGTTTCATATACCGCTGAAATCATTACTCATAAGTGACCAAGATGATCTGCTTTTATTGGATAAAGTCAGGTTTTCTTTTGTTTCTAACTGAGTTTAAGATTTACAAACTCCAGAAAAATGACTTGAGTAGTTCTATGATAACCACTATGAGATAAAGCCCCCAAATCTAGCATCTCAAGTAAATTCTTGAGCAATAAATTTTGAATGCAAATGGTGGAAAGGAAAGGAAGATACATCAGTAGATGAATTTAACAGTTCGTAATAGAACATCATACTCAATCACTACTTGACGTATAATTCCTGGAAGGACGCCATCACTGATAGGAGCTGTCTGTACTTCCAAAGAGTTTCCATTTCTGTGATTGTCATTGCTCGTATCCTATTACCAATCACACAGAGGGGAATCTCATGAATTGAGACATAAAATAGGAAATGATACCGTAAGTCAACCATACATATTATCCATCATTATATTTTCAGAGAAACGAACCTTGCGGCAAACAACAAAGAAGTTTGTTATACAACCTTCAAGCACTTGATCACCATCATTTGACAGCAACAGTTCAGTCACTGAAGGAGGCCTGAGCTTTTCCAGACTCTGCCTCAACCTGCAATATAGACAAATATCCAGGAAACACTTTCAAGGAACATAAACGCTGCAGGCAGCAATAACCTAGGAAACAAATTGACAAGAACTTCAGTATTACATGTATATTCATAGTTTATCCCAAAAAATTTTTTGGCTTGAAGTTGATATTTATAAGACTTCCAATTCCAAAAGGGAAGTTTAGATAGCATGGACACGGAAATGGGTATGATATCACGTTGACATTGACAGTGAACTACAAAATTTTAAGCATCTAAATGTAATATAAAGTGTCGTGTCATATTCAATATGACTGTTTGACATGTATTGAAATGGGCTGTACTCCCTTTCAAAGGTGTCTAGAGTTTTCTAGGCACAAACTCACCTAACCCAATCTGAATACTTTGCAGATGCGACATTCCTCCCCCAGCCCACCAAAGCCAAATTTACACCATTTTCCCTTATACCAAATGAAGGGGGAATATAAGTCTCAACATGAACATGCACCTCAAGAGTCTGTCTTAATCTTTCTTGACATTCCACAGTCTTCTGTGCATTCAGTGCATCCAAATTACCACAAACAAGAGTTGTAATAGCCAGTTCTTGGCAATCATTTATCTCTTTCAATGCAATGGGTAAGACCTTGCTAATGGAATCATTAACAAGCATCTGAACCGGGGGTTGCCATATTGGAAAGTTTACTGATGATGGTGACGAACTTGTAGATTTGTCAGATTTAAACAGAAGTTGTGGAGCTAAGTTTGACAAAGTATGTACGGATTCTGAAAGTCTTTTCATGTGTCTTTCCCAAAATAATAAGTAGGAACCACGGTCATGAGTCCGTGTGGTTGTGTAAGCACCTGGAATAGAAGCAAGCTAAAAGATAAATGGTAATTAACATTAAAATAAATCAAAGGAGAGAAAAATAAGTGTCTAGTATAGTGTGTACGATTTGATTTTACTCATGCGTATCTACCTGGATTAGCTTCAAGGAGGACCTTGACTGGAGGAGCATCTGGGGTGTGCAAGAGGATGCCGTTACTGAAGAGAAACCTTGAAAATGACATTTTTTAGCTGCCAAGAATGGAAAAGAGAAAATTACACAAAGCAATTTGTCGAAGGATCAAATCCTCTCAAGTCTCCCTGTACTTAATGGCAACGAAGATCCATGTGCACGGCGCCTCACTATTATGTGCATTCCATGAAGTGCCGTAGTAGAGAAGCTAATGCATATAATTTTTCTGCACCTATGGAAATATATTATTCTGCTTCCAGCTGTCACGAAAGAATGCAATTGCATACTCCAAGGTCAATCCTAGTCATACCAATAGGGATACAAAATAAAATAGATAATTTATCAGAGCGAAACATGGATGGCCAAAAAGGTAATCCAAATTATCCGCCTCGCTTAGCTCTTACTTGGAATCTGTTAAAGAAACAAAAATTAGAACAAGGAAAAAATCTATACCATGTGGGCCCACTGTTTCATTTTCGATGCTTAGAGCACTCGTTACCACTGTCACTGATATAATACCATATAATCTAAATCTTGTTTCTTTTTGGGGGTCAAATGATCATGATTGAGTTAGGTTTCAAATTAGAATCGTTATTACTTAATTATCAATTATCAATTCACAAGTAATAAAGTATGCATTTGGGGAATGTTCAAGAAACAACCACTAATACAAGAATAAAGATACTGTACCACTTGAGCCCACTGAAACTCATGGAAAGATTTCATTTTCGGTACAAGGGAAATACAAGCACTCGGTATCACTCCCACTGACATAATGCCATGCAATCAAATTTGTTCTTTTGGTCAAATAATCATGACTTAGATTTCAATTAAAAAAATTACTGTTGCTTAATTTTCAATGCTCTAGAGATCAAATTCAGCCCTGTACAATAAGCATTTCCTATAAAAACACTAGCTCTGCAACTAAAACCCAAAAACAGAGAATCCATAAACACAAAGGAAATCACCTCCGTTCTTGGAAGCTTTTCTCAGAAGAGCCCCCTGGTTCCTTGAATTTGCCTTAGTCCACCTCCATGCTTCTGATGAGAGAAAAATCAGTGTCCAGGCTCTGGAGCTCAACGACGATTACTGCAAGATGGAGTAAAGATTAAAAGTCAAACAATGCGAGAAAAAAGGCTATGCCTATGGAGCTAATAGCGAGGCATAAGAGCGAGTCTGGTCGTGGATTTTGAAAAGAGTGAAAATTTAATGAGATTATGACTGCACACAGAAACAGATTCTTCGGCTCTGAGCACCCAGTGCTGCAACGGTTCCGAATCTCAGATTCTCTCTTCTTCAGCGTTCGGCCCCTTCTCCTGCACTTCAAAAATTTTGGACCGTTAGATTGATTGGATGTATCTGAAGTAGCCACGCATGTGGAATTCTCTTTTTTTTTTTTTGGGGACTGAGACGCGTGTGGAATTCACCAAAGGAAATCCAAGCCATTGAACGATGCAAGTCCAAACCGCCCCTTTTCATCGAATCAAAACTGCCTCAAAGGGTTTCTGTGAAGGTAACCAAACCAACCACTTCCCAAGTCGAATCACCGCTTCCTGTTGGGGGGCCAAAACAACGGTCTCGATTTTCAGCATTCAGCGGCCAGGATTGCGTCTTGAGGATCCTGCCATTTTGGTTGTTTTAGATGTGTCAGATTAATCTAACGGCTGTCATCTTCCAACTGCAGGCAAAGCGAACGGATGCTGATCAATGCAGTGAAGAACATCGGAATTTTCTGTCCTGGCAAAAAAAAACAGAATCTGTTTTTCTATTATAAAAAAAGGTTTATATTTATTATATCAATTCTCCAATCACACAGTTATGTGTCCTTTTTTATTTCATATGAATTTATAATTAGATACTATTAAATGCTAATATTTAAAAAAAAAGACATACGGTTATGTATAATTGAAAAACTTGACATAATAGATATAAAAAACTTCATATAAGTATTGTCTATTTATTATGTCATGAGGATGTAATTCTTTAATCATTTTTTAATTTACTCTCCATCTCCTTTTTTTTGTGTTTTTTTTGGGTCATCTTCATTTGCCTCTTATCCTAATTATAAGAATTTGTTTATAGATTACAAATGAGTATTTATAATTAGGACTGGAAATAGTATTTACTCTTCATATAAGTAAGTTTTATTCCATGTAAATAAATTGTACTATGTATAGCTCTTTCTTATTATATGCAATGAAATGTTTTCAAAAGTATAAAAATGATACTCTCGCCGGCTTTTATGGAGTCGAAAGGTTTAGAAATAAAAATACAGGTCAACTGATGAGTTTAGGATTAAACGCTGTGAATTCAAAAAACCCATTTCTTAAAAAAAAAAAAAAAGGAAAAGCATTTAGCTAACCCCAGCATGTTAGATGTGAGTTTGCTCCTCTTTCTCTTTCTTTGTCCTTTTTTTTTTGGGTCCAAATTCATTATCCTACAATCACGAGATGAAAACTAAAAGCAGTGAAGTAGCAAAGCACCGAACGCAACTTAGATTTGAAAAAACTAACGAGAGATAGGTCTAGCAGAAGGAGCTAGTTCCTCGCAACGTGACAAACTAAGGTTCGAATCCCTAATAATAGAGGTGTTCACATTTAGTATCCGACAGTGCCTTGAATATGATTGCTTCCAATAGAAAGATACCTATGCTTTAAGGGGAAAAAAAACTTAGATTTGAAAACAAGGAAATGCTATCTAATGGATCTTAAAATTGCAGAGACAAATTCAATTGAGGAAGTTGCTGGGACTTTTGTTGTTTTTATAGTTTATATATAGCCAATATATGCAATTCCAATTGATTAATTCATCAATGTATTATGTCTCATTGAGTTCAAAAACTTAATTACAATGAATCTGTTATGCTTTTTATTGGATTCATTAATATAATAAATCTTTCATAGACACATATGGTATTATCACAATCTCTGACAAAACTTTTATATTATGTTTTCCGTTTTTGATCCTTCTATTTTTCTCCTAAATCCTAATCGATGTTAATTATATTAGTTAGTGTGTGTGTGAGAGAGAGAGATATATATCCATTCAAGCAGGGAGTTGGATGTCATCCAGGGAGGGGGTATACTTCCCTTTTCTATCACACAAAATACGAGATATACAATGTATTATCATAATACCACATATTATTGTTAATATAAGAGTTAGATAACTAATTTGAGGTTATTAAGAAAATTAATTACGTCTGTTATTTGTCATAAATGTATATTGGTCTTCCTAAACTATTCTCTTTAATTCTGTGCATTGAATAATTGGAATTATTTCTTAATAGAAATACCTTATAATCAATAGGAATATTTTATTAGGAGGGAAAGACAAAATGGATTGAGGTCTTATATTTATGACCAAATTTAACTCCTAAACATCCCTTATATTAAGGACCTGGGGTAGTATTATTTACATATAATAGTATTTTTTAAACTTGAAGCTATAGAGAGTATTTTAAAACAAGAAGATTAATTTTTTCCGCTCCAGGCCTTGCTTGCTTTTGTTAAAAATGGAATATATGAAAAGGAATTCCACTGCATAAAATTTTAAATATGCAATATCTATTATACATCCATTATCACTGCTTTAAGAATAACTATACATTTGGAACACTCTCCTCTTCTATCGTATAATCCTCCCATCCGGTTTTTAATACAAATGCTACTTAACTCATTTGAATATATTAATAAAGCTAAATAAATTATTTAATTTGAACAAATATGCATGACATGATCCCCTAAAATATCCTCTATATAATATTAAATTATATATCAATTTATAAGTTGCATAAAATAGTTTTTTTGGTCAAAAGTTACATAAATTAGTTTGAAAAAAACAATAAATATTAAAATGAATTAAAAATATTATATTTAGAATCAAAATCAATTCACTAGTTAGTAAGTACGTAACCCAACAAAATTTTTTCTTACCTATCCAATTCTTAATGAAACAAAATAATCATTTGTTTCTGTATAAATAGTTATTATATATTCTTCCATAGTGACAGGGGTTGATTGGAATTGTTCCAGTAACTCGCGCAACCGTTGACCTCTTGTCAATATACATAGCTCATACATTTAGAATTCGAGGAGTATTTTATTATGTATTATACAATTTGTTATACAAATTATAAACTCTAAGTATTTTCACATTTCGAAATCCAAACTTCTCAATGTTTTATAACAACGATTTGACATACTTCTCCGGTCCTTAATATAAGACCCAATTATTGAATTAGTTTTGGTCCTAAATATAAGACCCATTTCTCATATTTATCACTTTTCTCTAAATTACCCCTATGGATACTCTCTCAACCATGATCAAATAGAAGAGGAAGAAGGGGTATTAAGAAAGATGATTATGGTATTTTAAAAAAAACGTGTCATATTTTTTATAATTAACTAACTTACCTAACTTTCTTAATCTAATCAAATTACTTAAATGGGTCTTATATTAAGGATCGGAGGAGTATGATACTCCCAAATAATTTATGCCTAAATATTGTAAATTTTTATCGCATCAGGAGTTTTTTTCCCATTCTGACATGAGACTTCTTTTTTTTTTGGCGCTAACCTATGGTAGCATATTATTAGAAAAAGAAAAATACCATTTATCAAATTTAAATTTTCTAAGTAAACGTAGTGTGAACATAAGAACTGTAACATATTTGGCATAAATGGAAAACACGAGACTCATATATTGTTTTCCTTCTAAAGCTTACCACACTAGTAACTCCAATCACTCATTTCAATGTATATACTATATAACAAATCACATCTTAGCTAGCATCTCATAATTAACCACAATGGCTTCTTCTTCATCATCATCATCTTCTTCTTCTTCTTCCATCTTTGTAGACTCAACTTCTAAAGTGATCATTACAGAACAAGATTTCAAGAACTTCCATGGCATAGATCGCAAGCTCTTCCTTAGGTTGGTGGCCAATATCGGTCAAGAACCAAGGCAAGCTTCAATGTTCATGGCTTTATTCTTATGGTTGGAGAAGAAGACCAAAGATTTCAAACTCGTCTCCAAGTTGCTTCAATGGCCTGATGCTTTGCTCACTGATCTCACAAATGAAGCAGCTTTGATCTTCACTTGCATTCATAGTACTGACCAGTACTGTTTCATCGAGAATAACGTTAACTTCAAATACTATGACTTGCCTTTGACCCAGAAAATCACTAACAGTGGCATTAACCTCCATTTCGTGCACCAGAATCGAGTCGGCATAAAACAAACGATCATGGAATTAATGAACAATGTTTGCGACAGAGCTTTTGATGACATTGTTGTGCAATATTGTTTGCTGCAGAAAAGGGCTGAGAAAGAACATACGTCGTACATGATGAAGCAACGAGGGGGATACAATGTTAATGATGGTTTTGAGGTTGCGGTGGTGCCGCCACAAGCACCGCCACTGCAAGTGGTGACTGAAGGTTTAGGTGATGCATCAGGCGAGAGGAAGGAGATGGTGGTGGCAGCAGATGATAGGACCATATTCTTGACATTCTCGAAAGGATACCCCATTTCTGAATCTGAAATTCGTGAATTCTTCTCCAGGTGATCCCTCCAGTTATTTTTTTAAAAATATTTTGTCTTTTGCATTATTAGTCATCAATATAAGAGCTAAATATTTAATCAGTGAATATTAAGAAAATTAGTTAAATTAATTTTCTGTAATAAATAAGTATTAGCTTTCCTAAAATACCTTTTTTTTTTAGTAAAAAAAATATTATTACTCAAAAGACAAGTACAAGGTTTTGAAGATAAGGGGAAAAAATACAAAGAAGAATCAAGAGATCAGCCTATGTTTAGTCTCCTAAGAGCCTAAAATATTCTTATTAGTCATGTGTATTGGAATTATTCTAATGAAACTCTCCTTAAAATGTGAGATTAATAGGAATAGTTTGGCACCCAAAAAATATGAATTTTAGAAACAAAATGAATTGAAGTCTTATACTTAGAATCAAAATGAACTTCTTATCTAGCTCTTATATTTAGAATCGAAGGTAGTGTGTTGTATCATTAGTTTTTTCCCCCTAAATTAGAAAGGCATGCATATAACAATCAGTAGATTTTAAGTGATATCAAACCAATAACCTCCCACTTATAAGAGAGCAACCTGACTATAAGGGTATTTGTGTATTTTGTTATTGATGAAACTGAGATAATTTTTGGTGTTGAAAAAAAACTGAACAGACGATATGGAGATATGATAGAAGCTGTGTTGATGCAAGAGGCGGAAAGTGTGGGGGAGCAACCACTGTATGCACGTCTGGTTCTTCGTCCTGAGTTCATGCATATGATGGAAGCCATCATTGAAGGCACCACACGCAAATCCAAATTCTGCATCAACGGCAAGCATCTCTGGGCCAGAAAATATGTTCCCAGGAACACCAAGTCGCCGTCGGCCATGTCTCCGGCCACTTTGGATCCATCTGTTTCTTAAACTGACCACTTTAATGGAGGCCACACAATAAAAATATGTCTTGTTCAGTTACCCAAAAGAAAGTGTTGTTCTCCCTTTTAATTTTGACTGTCGCCTCTTTTTTGTTTAAAAGAAAGAAAAATTTAAGAGGATTCAAACGCATTTGAGTGTGCATGTGTTAATTGTTTTTCTGAGATTTTTTTTTTTGTTGGTATCATCAAATTGTTTCAGCCTTTTAGCCTTCAGAAATATTGAATCTAAATGATTTGTTTTCTTCTCTTAATATGTTGAAAAGAAAAAGATTTGTTTTAGAAGCTGTGCAAGTTCAGTTAAATTTCATTAGTTTCAGAATATACAATCCCGGTGAACTGCCATTATAAACCACCAATGAAAAACTTAAAAAATATTTGTTAGTGAAACTGAAGTACACCAACCTCAGAGAGGATCGTTGGCAAGGTGGGAATTCACTAACATGACATTTAATCTCTCTCTTGTATAAAAATACTGCATCCACTTCTTAATATCAGAGTTAGTTGAAAATTTGATTTAATTCTAAATATAAGATCACAATCCACTTCAAACAATCTTTATGGTGATTACATATGTTGGGAAATTTCGATGAAGGGACAGTTCAAATACACATAATTAATAAGTACATTTTAAGGAATACAACATCAACTTATTACAAATAACTAACTTAACTTACTTAATATTCACAAATTAGTTATCTACTTTTTTTATATCAAGAACTGGAGGCAGGACAACAAAAGGAAATTGAAAAAAAGAATCACTCGTTTCATACTAATGATTATTGCGGGAAAAAAAAAAAACTCATTTTGATAATTGATAGCCTAATATGCTCTCCAGTAAGTCAGTGTAAAACTAATCAATTTAAAACAAATTTTGTCCCGTGGACGCACATAGCACAAGTTGCATACTTGTATCATAAAATCCATTTACATTTAGCAAAAAGAAATTGGACACATTGGAGAAAGTTATATTACACGATGAATAGTACAACTGAAGTAAAGAAATAAAGGCTTGAACAGAGAGATATATATACACACAGGACACGAAATCGTATTTGTAGATAAGCCAGCAGTGTGTAAACAAAATAGAAAAGTTACTGCTACGTCTTTCTTGGAAGCATGTCATTTTTTCATGTCAAAACTTAAAGAACAAAGGCTAGAGATTCTTGGTGGAGCGTTGGAAAATATCATACAGGGAGAGAAGAATTTCCACACCTATCAGTGCAATGATGAGCCACTCTAGAAAATCTGACTTCCTATTTTGAAGAATTTCTTGAAGAAAACGAATATTGTGCTGCAGAATGAAAAAGGGAATGGGAGTTAATTAGCAAATGCAAATCTAGTAAGAAAAGACTAGACCTGCAGATCTATCATGATAGAAATCTTACCTCCACAAACTTCAACTTAAAATCAAGACTTGCAAATCTCTGAGTGAGTTCAAATTCATCCCTGAGGTACTCCCATATCTGAGCATATTTGGCATCTTTCCAAGCAATATCTGATCTGTTGAAACCATTCAAATGATTCTAAGTTGAAGTGACACATATGACAGTTTGTCGCAAAGCATTCCCATAGATTTCAAAATACAATATTCGTATTGATGCTCTAAATACATGGCCTTGAACAATGACAATCATAAAAAGACCAACATAAGTAAACAAGTTTGAATACGCGCGCACGCGTGTGTATCAACTGCTATATTTTTGGGCAAAAAACAAAAAGCTATATATGTTTATCCTTGGCACAAACATAGGCACTTAAACGGAATGAGATCAACCACTAGAAAATGAGATTTACAAACCCAATGTACCACAGCATCCAAAAGTTTTCTTTAAGCTGAAGAACAAATACATAACCAAACACAGCTACTCAATTCGTTGACCAGCAGGTGCTTAAGGTTCACTTATGAGAAACAATGTTAATGTCATGACAGAGACACAGAGAGCTTAAGTTCCTCAGTAATTTTAACACAAAAAAGGGGAAAATAAAAAAGAAAAGAAAAAATTCTGCCTTTACGTGACAGTAATACATATGAGTATCAAAGTTGACTTTTACTTGACATGCATACACATCTAAGTGAATCTCCGTTGAATATGTTTCATAATAATGAACTTGAGGATAACTTTACCAATCTATGAATCACCTCTCAAGTTATGTGATTGTTTAGGATCTCATTACGGGTTTGTTTTCCATAAGTGTAGCTTCTCATCTAAATCTGACACAAAGATACCACTAGGTATTGAGGGTTTAGTTTAAAATAATCATAACGTATAACTCCAAATGATCCAGGGTTTCTTACTGTGAAAGGCAAGAGAAACAGAAGCTTCTCATGTTATGGGTCAGTGTCCTTCTCCTTCAAGTCAGAGAATAGCTAAGAATGGAACATAGATATAAAAAATGTTCGCAACTGATGACATGATTAAGCCTTTTAATAATGAGGGTACAATAAATAATTGTAATTAAACAGTATTGCAATAACGTTTGAAATAATTATGGTTTGGTTGAATATACATTACAAATATTAAAAAACTAAAAACGATTTCCACGCAACGCATGGATTCGAAAAATGAGTTGCATTGTGCAAGGCTTGTAAATAATGCAACATGCTATATACTTTATATTGCATAATTTATATTGAAACTGGTATGCTGATAGTTCGGAAGTGAAGAGAATCAGAGTAAGATGCCTCTGATTAAACAATTATTCATGGCAGGGGAGACATGAAAAGGGAAACACGGCTACAACATCAGCCAGAGTATCAGAAGCCTAGGTTGGAATTGAAAATGCATGAAAAGCAGTGAAAACAATGAAGCAAAATCAAAGATGTCAACAATCAATACAAGGAAATCAGCCCCTACTCTCAAGACAGGGCAAGGAGGGATATCACATGATTTTCACGAAGAACTATAAGTTTTTATTTTTATATAGTTTATCAACTTTGTAAATCTGTAATGCAGAGCCTATAGCTGTTCAAGGAAATGTAGTCCTTGTAGTGAAGGGTTTGGAGTAAGTTATGGTTCAGGTTAACTAATATGTTCGCATTATTATAATGAGTCAAGGAATAAAAGGGCCCATTCAGTCAATTGAAAGGCCTCGCGTACTCTTGGTTAATTGAGATGTTATTAGCACGTTCGTATTTCTTTACTTCCTTAGCTACTACATTGCCTGTGCCCTTACCATTTCTATTTACCCTTCTTTCAGTCTTTCTATTCTTTTCATATTCTGTATCCTATAACCCGATTTTAACCTAAACATTGCAGCAATAGTATATTTTGCCGTTAGATCAATTCGCTTCTTGAAAAGTTACTCACAACTTAGGAATTGTATGTCTACCACTTGAAAATAGCAAACAAGCGATATTACTCTTTCAAACTTCCATATCTATTGCCTATGAACAGAAGAATTACCTCTCAAATAGTCCGAGCTTAAGAATTACATCAGCAAGATTTGAATTTGCCTTTCCCACCAATTGGAATAGCTTTTTCCTCTGCATTTTGAATTTTCCAGTCATTTCCATCTCACGGTTTATGTCAGTAAATTCTGCAACCATTCCATCAACCTAGCATAAAAATTTTTGGTGGTGGGGTTAGAGGAGAGCCAACAGCAAATCCCCATGTCAGATAACTTTAACATAAGGTGAGCATACCTGCCGTCCATAATAGTCAAGTGCAATACTTTGACCAAGAACGCTACCAATAGTACGGATTCCATCTACATTCAAGTACTGTAACGTTATGTAATCCAGCCCGCCTTGCATCCATGTGCTCAAAGTAGGTTTTTCTCTCACTTCATACTCTACATTTTTTTTTGGAAAAGCAAAATAAAAAATAATGTTAATCATAGCATTAAACCTGTAAGATGTCCTCCCAAAAAATGAATCCACAAACTTCATATTAGAGTCAACAGATGTTCTTACATCAAAATGGTGTATCAAGAAAAATTTAAAAAAAAATGCTATACATTTTCTCTACGGAAATATGCTAGGATAAAAGAAATAATCATTGCTCATAAGCTATATGTTTTCAGGCTCCCCATAAGCATAAAATTAGACATAAGTAGTTTGTAATTGAACTAGCCAAGTCTCTCAGTGCTGCCAACAACACTCTTGATATCAATAACAATTTTAATATTGAGGGAGCAAACTGTTTGTCCTATCATCATTAAGGTTTCTGACATAAATTGCAATTTTAAATGATAAAAATTATGGACAGTTGAACCATGCAGATAATAAAATCAGCAGAGACAAGGTTATGATTCAAAGAACTCAGAAAGATTTTATTTTTTTAAAAATTTGGAACCATCACCAAGTTTTAAAGAGACTAGAGGCCCAAAAGACAAATATCGTCACGAAATAATTTGCAACAACTCGCTGGAGTAACATCCGTTGCTCCATTGGCATTGCATGACCCATCTATTTTGACGTAATCTGTACTACAATTAATCCATTCTATAACTTACTGTTCTTTTTCATATATTTGAAAACCATTTAAAAGGATAACCTTGTAAAATAGAAGAATGACGTAACTCAGATTTTTATAAAACAATCAAATAAATATTTATTGATATAAGAGCTCACCATCCTTTCTCATTTCAGGAAGCAACCCAGAAGCATGTCTTTTTACAATTTTAAGATAGCCATCAACCTCATCCTCAGGGACGTTAAACAAAACAATGGAGCCATACTGGAAAACAACCATGTAATAGCAGTTGCTTCCACTCAAGCAGGGAGCACCCGGAGCCTGAAACAAAACGCAGTTTCTATATATTGTTGCGCAATATAACTTACAAATATTCACAGAAAATTCTCGCCAGCATAAACCAGAACAGTACAAGGGATACAATTCTCCAAGTCACCCCGTGGGGTCTATAACAATAATAGTAGTAATTCTATAACGTAAAATAGAAAAGAAAAACATAAGCAACACTAGAACATTGGTTTCTAATTTTTTCCCCCCTTTTAAACCATATTGGGCTTATTAATGAAGTCCTGCTATCTAAGAACTGGAATTCAGATTCTCATGCTAAGCATGAAATTGATCACACCAACTATTTCTTTATTAATATTATTTTTTCACTATATACAATTGAACAATTTTTCATACGCTGCAACAAATAGTTCAGTTAACAATGCCGCTAGAATTAGTACTCAAGCTAACAGAATAACCAATGCACAAATAAAATGGTGCAAGGGAAAATCACAAACACAACCCAAAAGCTGAAACAAGTAAAATGCGATCAAACAAATACGCTGTTTACATTCCTTGTAAAGAGTATTCAAATTTGCCATCTGATGGCATAAAGGAATTTCTGAAAAAAGGGACCAGGTGAGACAAATTTAACTACTTGAATACATAAATTCTTGCAAAAAAAGCATCATGATCTACCATTTTGTTCAACAAATTCTGAGCTTAAGGCTACCAAAACCAATATTTATAACAAGCCAACATTATGCAAAATAAGTCTCCACAATATAGGACAAGCACAAAAGGAAGAATTATTAAGTACAGGATAGAGTACTTGAATATTATATATTGTTGAGTTGTCATACTTGACGCCTTTGTCCTGTGCCAACAAAAGTAACAATAAAAATTACTTCTCTTACTTCTACTATATACTAACCCCACTCCAACGTAGGGGTTTATTGAATATTTCTTCAAAACGTCAACAACAATTTTAAGTGCTGAGAATACGCCTAAGGAACCATGCACAAGAACAAAATCTTCACACATAAGAAATTTGACCAAGCATAAAGCAATAAATACACGCCTACAAATCTTGATACAAGACAACAACAAAAAAAGCCTTGGGTGGGATTGGCTACAAGAATCACAAGATGCCATTATGTTTTATCCAACACTAATCCATTCAATAAGGCACTAATCGATTCAGTTTAAGGAAGTTAGGTAGGTATACAAGAAAAGCCATTTGACTAAATATTTCCTGCTCTTAGATAATGAAAAGTATCTATTACTTTAAATCCTTTATCTAACGCAACATATTAAGTTATAGTGAATACAAATAATTTTTTTTGCCTCTAAACATACTCCAAGAGAATAGGTCGAGTGATACATACCCTGGAATCCAAAAGATTGCCAAACTTGAGAACAACATAGTTAGTCATCCGTGATGATGGCAGGACAAAATTCGGTTTGTTCTGTTCCACCAAGCTTTTTAAATCAACACTGCATCAGTAGAAAGGCAAGTGAGATATAATATAAATCAGCATGCAATTATATCGTCCAATCACTTCATCAATTGACCATCGAGAGTCCATTTCTTGAATCATTTCGCTTTAAAACTTTATTTTCATTTCAGATGAACATTCAACACATGTAATACGTTATATTTCAGAATTGAAAATAATGCAACATGTAACTTCAAATTAAATTAATAATCAACAAATATAAAGAAAAACCAAGACGACAAAACCAGTTTCATTAATTTCCAAAAGAGAATTTCAGACCTGGTTGAAAAGAAATAAGCCTTGACAGGAATATGAAGTTTAGTATCCTCCTGGACGGTCCCATCATCACCTTCGGCAACCTCAGAGCAAGAGACGGAGTCATTCCAGGTCAAGTTATTAACGGAAGTGACCGAAGAAACGCACCGAACAACCAGAAAACCGAAACTCGACCCGAAATCGTTCGTCGGTCGAATAGACGAAATGGAGGAGTCAGCTAAGGGTACGTAGGTTCTGAGAAAAGTGAGAGAAGCTTGAGGTTTGGGAGGAATGAAGGTTTGAGGCTTGAGCCTGCGAGACTGAGAGAGAATTGTGCATAAAGAAGAAGACGAATATGGAGAGGTCAGGGTTGAGGAAGAAAGCGAGGAAGGAAGTCGCAGAGTCCTGAGGTGGGCGTCTAACGAGCGCCACATCTTCTTGGTTTCGCAGAGCACGGAGTGTGAGTTCGCCGCGCCGGTTTTGTTCTCCCCCGCCGGATCGTTTTAGGGATCAAGATTATCTACAGCCACGCCTATGGCTTCACAAGATTCAACCAAACGACCTGCGCCATTCAACTGATCTGACGATTGAGAGTACGGCGTCATGTTTTATTTTTAGTTTTTGATAACTAAATTTAGGAAAAATTAATTCATCAATTTTTGTAGTTTAATCTAAATTTTAATTAGATTTTGCAGCATTTTTGGTCATTGCTCTCTTTATAATTTTCTCTACTCATCATCTGTTACCTAACAAGAGGTGATGCAAATGCTAACAAAACGGCATATAAGTTGTTACAAAATATTTCTTCTGTTCTAAATATAAGACTTTTTTTGTAGCGTAATTTACACTACAAAAAGGTATTATATTTAAGACTGGAAGAGTACAAAATTAAACAATTAAATGATTAAATAAAATTTCTTTCTTTTGGCCAAAAAATAAAATTTTTTTCTTGTTAACATAAAATAAAAAATTATACTTATATTCATTTCATTGCATCTATATATAATATGTAATATGATTGATTTTTTATTTTATTTAAATTCATGCGAAAAAATTAATCCGGTTACGTGTTAAGTGAGAATTGCTTCGTCAATTAGTAACGTTGTTTCTTCTATAAATTAACTAATAATAAGTAAAAGGAATTATGAACTAATGCCTAAAATTGAGATGATAAGGACCTAATACAAACTTGATTTAAAATTAAATGGAACTATAAGACTAACAAATTAATTTTTTCTTAAATTTAAAATGCACCAGATGAAAAGAAAGTAAGAAACAAATGTAAAATCTCCTTTCCCTCTAGCATTATTGAATTAAAATTAAAATATAATAATAAAAAGTGTCAGATCTAAAAGTGATTGAAAAAAAGATATGAAAGTTGGGGGGAAGTGTAAATTATGTAGTTGAAATTCCGGGGAAAAAGTGTAGATGAAATTAATTTGCACATTTTATTTTATCTGAACCTGAATAATACAAATGTTGAACATTTGGAGGAATCTTTCGTGAATGTGGTCTTGTGAAACGTATTTTTTTCTCTATAAATATTAAATAACTAGAGCTCCTTGATGCCAATTTCTCCAGGCAATTCATAAAACTAGAGCCCATTGTTTAGATTAAACTTGAATAACCCAGAAAAATTGAAACATTAAAAAAAACCTATATTTTTTTAAGGGAGAATTACAATGAGATTCCAGGCAAGACAAATAATTAAAAAAACAAGTCTCATTATCATTCTCACTATAGGATTTGTTATTATAAGCTGTTGAGATTGTTATTGAAACTTTTTATAATTATTTTTTTATAGGACTTGATGTAATTCTCTCTGTTTTTTTTTTAAATAACTGAACTTTTCAAACTGACCTGAATAGGCCCAAAAAAACTCTGACCCAACTTTTTCAGTTATGAGCTAGGCCAAGTACCAGAAGTCCCGAACATGATTTTCTTGGGAACAAAAATATGGTATTTTAACCACCAAGAGTTAGATATAGCAGAAAGGGCTAATCTCTCATAATATAGGAAATCAAAATCCGAATCCCCGTTGAAAAAAATACCTATATTTAGTGCCTGACAGTGTCTCGAATAGGATTGTCTCCGATAGGAGGATACCTATGCTTTAGCAAATATATATATATGATATTTAACTCACAGTTGGATCTAGTAAAAAGAGCTAATCTCTCACATCGTAAAGAACTAAGGTTCAGATTCAAGCTCGGAGAGGTGTCCACATTTGACTCTCGATAGTGCCTCGAATATGATTACCTCCAATAAATGAATACCTATGTTTTAACAGGAAAAAAAAAAAGTGGTATTTAAGAAACAATATTGATATATTCTCTATTTTTTAAAAATTTACTTTTTCATAAATTAATTTTTTATTCTACGGCATAGTTTGAATTTTCTCGTAAATTAACACTTCATAGTAATTTAGAAAGCTTTGATTATTCTTATGAAAAACTTATAAATCATTATTCCAATTGTTAATACTTATTTTATCACTTTTAACACAAATACTTCTTATAATAATATAATTTTATTTTTTTAACTTTTCTTCATAATTAGTTCTTAACATCTAATTTTTAATAAATTTTATTGCCATACTAATTATGAATATACTCCTCCGGTCCTTAATATAGAACCCAATTCTTGAGTTGGTTTTGGTTCTAAATATAAGACTCATTTCTCATATTTATCAATTTTCTCTAAATTATCCCTATAGATACTCTCTCAACCATAATCAAGTAGAAGAGGGAGAGGGGGTATTAAGAAAGATGATTATGGTGTTTTAGGAAAAATGTGTCATTTTTCTTATAATTAACTAACTTACCTAACTTCCTTAATCTAATCAAATTATTTAAATAGGTTTTATATTAAAGACCGGATGAGTATTTTAAAATAATCGGTATTTATATTGGGCATTAATTTTGCTCCCCCAACTAATTTTTTTGAGTCCATCAACGCATGGAGGGAGCTGGCTTCCCTCAGATTACGTGTCCCTTCACTTTCTCTGGACTGCAGGTCTCATCCATTAGATGAAATATGGAGGGAGTAATATATAGATGAACATGGTACAATTTGAATGCCTAAAACATAAATAATCCCTTTGTCCTAACCATATGTGGCCAAGTTCTTATGTACTATTTATTCCTAAATATAGGAAGGAAAATGTGGCAATTAAAAATTTTTTCCCAATCTTATCCCTCCTTAATTACAACAAGTTGTTGGCATTTTTTAATTTCTAAACAAGAGTTTATTTATTGTCATTAATTTCAAGGAAGGGTAGAAATAGGGGATCACACATTTTTACTAGTTCAATGACAGCAACTACTGCCTCTTATTGACATCAACTATTACTTCTTAAGTAATGTTTGGTATGAGAGAAATGAAAAAAAGAGGAGGAGATAGAAGATTTTAATATGCCCGATTTGAAAAATTATACAAGTGGGATTTTAAAATTTTAACAAAAATAAGAAGTAATATAAAAGAGTATTAAAAATTAATTAAAAGCTTTTAACCCCGCTTCTCTAATTTTTCAAATTGAGTTCATTAAAATTTTCCCTTTCTTTCCATTTCTCTCATACCAAACAGAATCTCAGTGCTGCTGAAAGTCACACGGTTCACAATTAAACATTCTAGGATTCTACAATCAAAGTTTGAAATCTAACTGATCGCGGAAGTTTTTTATTATGCGCCGTCCTTAATTACAACAAGTTATTAACACTATTTTGCAACTGTTGTCAGAAACCATTACTAAATTTAGTAGCCGGTTTAACTGAAAGCCACTACAAAGTATCTTGCCACACCCATTTTAGTAATAGTTTGGAAAACTGGTACAAACGCATTTGTTGCATTAAAATAACTGTTGCAAAACAATTTTTCTTTTTAGTATTATACTATTTTCAAATCAAAAGTTGGATAATTTAAATATGCGCCCGCACACAAAAAAACATATAGCTAGAATTAAAGATTGTATCCATAACAATTTTTTTTTTTTTTAAAAAAAGGTAGACTCATTCCCATAAGTATTTATCATAGCGTCCTACCAAATCACAAATTCATCATACACGATGTGGTTAATTTAAAAAAAAGAAAAAAGAAAAAAAGACCTCAATTATGATGGAATATAACGTTCTACACCAGAAGGAGTGTAAAGTTCAGTAGTTTGGCGCTGTAATTAACAATGCTTCATTGTTCATTACAATCACAATTTTTTTTCTGTTTTTGCCAGAATCATTACAATCACAACTTGCTACTACTATTTATAGTGAAGCTTTATTGCTCACCAAATCATTTATCGATCCACTGAGAAAGAGAACAAACCTGAGTTCATGGATCTTTCAGCTGCTAAGACTCGCAACTTGGGGAGTCATTAACCGTGGATGTTGGTGTTGAACTGAACCACAAATTATGGGTAGAATTGTTATGACGATATGGGTTGATTGGATGTGGGCCTGGTCCACCATTGTTGCTAGAAGAACTGAATTTTGATGATGCTGCATTGGGAAAAACCGGCACCGGCACGATGCTGCCGTTGCTGTGAAGTTGCCAAGCCAAATTTGGGAATCTTGATAGAGGAACAACTTCAGCTCTCTTTTCTATGGCCTTCTCCTGGCATTTATGAACTGTTTAGAATTAGAATATGAAAACACAGACAAATGTTCTAGATAATGTCATCAAATATAGAATGATACTATGTTAAATGCAAATTGAATCTTTTATAGTATCTCCTGTCAGAGAATGAGTATGGTACAAAAGAGTTTGATTATATATGTAAGTTCAAGTCCCGTTTGCTTCAACTCCGTAGAATTCCTAGATATAGTTTTTCTCATAGTAATCATCACATATTCCAATAGATATGATTTTATTCAAATATAAAGAGTTTGGTTGGCCATAACCATGGAAATAGTCTCTCCCATGATAATCATCATTCCTTAATAATTGAGAATCTAAACCGATGACCTTATGCATATCAATCCTTATTCCCACATCTCTGTCACTTCATTGCCTTCCTCTTAAAAAATCTACCTTTGGCCATTATCATATTAGCCATTTTATTCTCTATCACCGCATTCCATTCCTATCTTTTCCAACAACCAGATAAGCCACTCACTATTCTTCTTTGTACTTCTCTCTGAATACTTTACATACAACTACTTTTGTGTCCATAAAGTCAGTTAAAGTGAAATGATACCTTGATACTACCTCCGGTCCTAATTATAAGAGTTAGTTGACTAATTTGAGGAGATTAAGGAAATAAGTTAAGTTAGTTATTTGTAATAAATAGGTGTTGTCTTTCCTAAAATATCATTGCTAATCAAGTTTATTGGCTAGAACTACCATTATTAGAGGGATTATCTTAGGAAAGAATACAAAAATATGAGAGATAAAGCGGATTGGGATCTTATAATTAGGTCCAAAATAAAAGTCAAACGAGATCTTATATTAAGGACCGGAGGTAGTATATGTTATAGGTCAATATTCTATATCATCAGTGTCAAGCAGGTCCATGGT